CATCCATCCATCCATCCATCCATCCATCCATACATCCATCCATCCATCCATCCATCCATCCATCCATCCATCCATCTTCTTTACCTGCTCCTCCTTTCCAGGCTCACAGGGAGCTGTCACTGTGCGAGATGCAGGGGACACCCTGGACAGGTCTCAAGTCCATCACAGGGACACATAGCTGTTGGATAAAAATATGCTTTCATTATCTTCTTAGCTTAAAACAGAGCCACACACGAAGACAAGAGAAGATATTTAAATATAGTTTACTTGCAAGGGCAGACGTTCACACCGGCTTACACAGATGTCTCATCGAAGCCCCAGTCGTGAAGTGTACAGGAAGTGTTTTTATGATGCTCATCAGCCCTCACAGACAGTCACTAATGACCTCGGCCTCAGACATGGAGGCATCAGGTGCCTGCAGGCTCCTCTCTGAGCTCACACACACGATTCAACATTAATTTAATATTAGCAGTGATCAACATCCATAAACCTTTACCAGAATTTCCCTGACAAATGAGACAAACAACCATTCACGCTGTCGCACACATCACATCAAGGGACAAGTCACTAATGAACCAAAAGTATGTTTCTGGTCTTTTGGAGGAAGTACTCTGAGAAAACCCACACATGCTCAGGGAGAACATGCAAACTCCACACAATAGGCCCCAGCTGGGAGGTGATCCAAAATGCCAGCTAAAAGTAGCAAAAAAACCCAGCTAAAAGCTAAATGTAGCAACAGAAACAGTAAAATGGTAGCTAGAAGTTAAAAGTAGTAAAAAGGTAAGTGGGAAAATGCTGAAAGCAGTAACGGTAAAGAAAAAGCTAAACATATCAAAAAGTTATCTAAAAGCTAAAAGTTGCAGAACAATAATTTAAAGCTAAAAAGGTCCAAAAAGCAAGCTAAAATCCAAAAGTAGTTAAAGACTAGCTAAAAGTAACAAAAGGCTCCTGAAAGCTGAGTAGCAGAGCATTAGGGGAGTGGTGGCACAGAGGTTAGAGAAGATGGGCCTGTGATCAGAGAGTTGCAGGTTCAACTCCCGGTAATGTCAACATCAAAATGTGGGTGGAAAAGTTGAAACACCCACACCTGCGTCCATCCTCATTTGCCCCACTTCGCCCCTTAACCCTCACCATTTGCTCCCAAAAACAGGTCTCTCTTGAAAATGAGTTCTCGCGACTCAGTGAGACTACCTGTATAAATAAAGGGTAAATGAAAAAAAAAAATTGTTCAAATTAAAACTAGCAAAAGGGTAGCTAAAAGTTCAAAAGCCCAATAAAAAGCTAAAAATATCCAAATGCTAGCTCAAAACTAAAAGTAGCAAAAGATTAGCTAAATGTAACAAAAGACTAGATAAAAGTGACAAGAGACTCCTAAAAGCTGAACGAAAAGGAGCAAAAGGCTAGCTGAAAGCCAAAAGTAGCCGAACAGAAGTAGCAAAGCAGATAAATATAAAGCCGAGGCCGCTTTGTAAGAGAATAATGTTTTTTGGAGGAGCTAAAAAAGATCCCAGTGTATTACTAAAAATAAAATATTTTTAAAATAAGGTAAATAATTTGAATGGTAAATAAATAAATAAAGCTATAGCAACAACTCTCATCTTCTGAATGAGCTGAACATTTTATGACACGAAAGGAAAGTAAAAAGTAATTAGATTACAAAACACTCAAAAAAACAACAACTAGAAAACAACAACAAAAACAACAAACAGGACAACAACAGTGTGAATGCTGAATCACCAGTCAAATGTCAAGTTAATCATCTTTCAGCTTCTTCCCGTTCTCATAGAGTTTGTATTTTGTGTTACGAGGTGAGCGTGTTGGAGGGGAACCTGGGAGAAACTGGACACAAATACTCTGTGGAGATGGACCGTCTTCAGGCCACACTGGTGCAGCTGGAGGACGAGCTGTCTCAGCTGCGTTTGGACATGCAGCGCAACAAAACCGACTACGAGCAGCTGCTGCGCATCAAGCAGAACCTGGAGATGGAGATCGCAACCTACAGGAGGCTGCTGGAAGGAGAGGAAATGTAAAGAAGGCCTGGATGCTTTTTTTTAATACACCGATTTCAATCATTTTTGCTACTTTAAATTAAAAGAACTGTTCCACAATTTGACGAATACCACCTAGTTTTAATAAGTATCACACTTGTGGTAAGTTTGTAAAAAAAAGGGGACAGTTAGTAGTGAAATACTTTAATCCTTGAAATAATGTGAACTAGATATCCTGCAGAATTCTTTTCAAGTCACTAGTCATTACCTTGTGACTAAAAGATCATTGAATGCATCACAAGAAAAGAAGGTTTGTTTTATTGTGTAATATTGTGAAGTGAGTTTAGTTTTGCTTTTTCTGATTAAATTTGTATTATTTCATTTTACAGGGTGAAACAAACTCCTCCGCCTCCTAAAAGTAAGTTCAAACTAGTCTAACTAATATATAAATGTTTCTCTTTCATATTAAGTTTATTTAGCAGTTATTTTACATCATCATGATGAAGCAGGATGTAGAAAAATCACGTTTGTTGACGTTATCTGAATCCAATCCTTTTTAGCACATAAAGGTTGTTTGTGTGTGCACGTAATTTGCACACAAGATAAAAAAGTGTCAGTCAAATCTGTCTAGACATTGAGTTTCAGTGACCTAAATGCAACAGAAGACAGTGTTTTTCTTTTATTCCTGTGTTAATGATACGTTCCAGTGTTGTTCCGTCACACCTGGTTTTCCTCCTGTGTTCCAGAAGACCCCGAGGTTCGCACCAGGAAGATCGTAAAAGTCGTCACGCAGACGATGATTAATGGGAAGGTGGTCGATGAGTCCAGTGAGGTGGAGCAGATCGAGGACAGAAAAAAATGAGCCGAGACGAAGCGTCAAACCTGCCTCTAATCCAAAGTCCCCCGGGGATGACATTTACACGACCGGTTTTCTTCTTTTTCTCCCTGGGGGTTGTTTTTAAATGCAAGAAACAAAATTGAAGATTGAAGTTTGTCTAAACATTATTTTATTCCACTACAATCAATATATATCTGCTATTTTCATTCAACTTTGGCACCCTGATCAGGTTTTAGGCTTTTTAATGATGGATAAATAAGTTATTATGTGTTGAAGTGGTCGATATTTGGTTTCCAATGATCCCATGAAGGCCTTCAAACAAGTCTAGTTTATTTTACTAAATAAATTAACAATTTCAAATTAAATCAACTTCTATTGAGTGTTTTTTTTCTCACATTATTCAGAATCAGAATCAGAATAAGCTTTATTATCATTGTACCGAAATACAGTGAGATTATGTTCGTACGGTCGTCCGAAAGATGTGCAGAGTGCACGTTGCTGCTGCTCCTAAGAGCTCTGCCCCTTATTCTTTTAGATAGAAAAAGGGGAAAAGGCCATGACGAGAGGATAATGGTATTACATAAAAGATCTCTTCACACCTTGTCCTTATCAGGACAGGATTTAAGACATGAACAAACTCTACCAGCAAACACATTTATAGACACATAACATATGCATTTGATGACAAGACGGTAAGATTGTTGATTTTTTTCAGGCAGACTGTTATTTCTCGTCAGCCTTGCATTCTACTGGTACTTTTAATCCAAAACGGCCAGATCTGTGGGCATTCCACTGGTCCATGCTTATTAGCTCCATCCAAGGTCGTCCTCAACATGCTGGCGAGTCCCAGAAGCCGCAAGTGGCCTACCATTCTCATAAATAGCTTCTATCTTATGGTTGAGCTTGTAAGTCAGTTGATTTTGAGTGCTCAAAGTATGAACCAAACCTTCACACAGGGTCGGCAGCGCTGCCATGGCCAAGACTGCTGCTGACGTCTTCTTTAATAGCCGATAACATAAGTATCCGCCGGTGCCTACAAGCAGAAACCCTGCTATCATGATTCCAATTTTATAAACATCTTCGGTGTCCTCATGTCATGTTTGTGCCGCGTGTGTTTCAGCGGGGCATGAGGGTTCTCCAGGACCCTGTTGCTTTGTTAAAAAAAAGTTATCGAGTGCGTTGAAAGTCCAGCTGACCAGATCCATGACAGTAGTTTATGTTTCAGAAGATGTGTAAATAGGAGCTCTGATACACAGACAGAAAGATAAAAAGCAGGAGGACAGGCGAGGGAAGAAATGTGTCCGTCTTGCACGAGAACGAGTGAGGGAATATATATATATATATATATATATATATATATATATATATATATATA